CTTCCTTCCTTCCTTCCTTCCTTCCTTACTTACTTACTTACTTACTCACTTACTTACTTACTTACTTACTTACTTACTTACTTACTTACTTACTTACTTACTTACTTACTTACAATATGTTAGCTCACTTTTCTCCTTGAAAAGGACCCGGGCAGCTTACATCATTAAAAAACATTTTTTAAAAGTTAAGGGCAGTAATTATACAGATATTTAAAAGAATCAAACAGATACCATCCATACCAAAAATGGTCAAAATCAACAGCAAAAACAGCTTCTAAGCAACAAGGCACAACATTTGAAAACACCTCCCAGACAATCCTGCAGGGAAAGCCTATCTGAAGGGAAAGGTCCTTATCTATTTGAGGAAGGAGGGCAAAGATGGGGCCCTCCTGGCCTCCAGTGGGAGGGAGTTCCAAAGTCTGGGAGCAGCAAATCTGGGAGTTAGCTAAGGAAAAGCTTTGGAAACCCAGCCATATTGTGATACAGACAATGAAATGTTATTTAACAGCACAGCCTTCAACATTTGCTCCTAATCCTCACTGATATTTTCATTTATGTACACAGAGAGGACATTGGTTCGTTCTGCCGTTTACAGGATAAATGTCCCTTTCCAGCCCTCAACAGGACATTACGGTTTATTTGTACCTCACCGTTATGAACTGTTGTGGCTGCCATCTTGTGAATCCTAAAAGTTACATTTTCCTGAGGAGAATTTAACTAGGGACACAAAGAATTTTGGTTAAATTCTTTGTTCTTCTCTATTTCAACTTTTTAAACTATTTTAACAAGAAATCCTGATGAGCAATTTGTCAACCCAGGAGATTCCCTTCTCTCAAGGCAAGCGTGAAACGGGAGTGCCGTGTTGTTGTCTTGTTTGACAGAACTCGCACCAGCTACTCCAACAAAACTCGTGTCCTTACCCAAAGCACACACTAATCATGTACAGAGTGACAGGCTGGCTATTTTATAAGGTGCAAACAGATTTTTCAGTGCTTCTGATCCAGACAACTGCGATCACGTGCTGTGTTATTCACGCGAAAGCATTGGTTTGTGCAATTTTGTTCAATTTGTTGTTTTCCTACCTCACCCTCTCACAAAGGAATTATTTTTACAGTTTCTCATTCTTGCAATTGCTGTCAAGTCAATTCGGACTTACGACAATCCTTTCTGGATAGAGAATACTCAGAAGTGATTTTTCCCATTGCCTTCTTCTTGGGGGGGGGGGCACAGAAGGGGATCTGCAGCTGGCCCAAGGCCACACGGCCTGGATTGACTCACGGGAGGCACAGTGAGGAATTGAACTCGTGACCGCTGGCTCTGCAGCCAGATATCTAAATCACCGAGAGAAACTTCATCCCTAATCAGAGATCTCTGCTGTAGTTTGAAAGAGCATGACCTCTCCAGCAGAGGAACAAGGAGCTAGCTACGAATTCTAGAATTTTGTAAGCTGGAGCCATAGTAATCCAGGTGGCATCAAACTGGAATAGTGACATGGTGCAGACACACCGTTTTCCATTTTGGAAATGGGTTTTCTGTCTATCCTGTTAGATTCATATAGTGTGGGGCCTATACAGAACTGATAAGACACTGGATTTTGCTAATCAGTTAGAAACTCTTCTGGGAAAAATAGAATGGGGGGTTGATGTTATTGCCAAAGTGCCATTCATTTTGGTTTTCCCCAGAAAAACCTGCTTTTTGTTATCTCGAGCTGAGTCAGACTCAGAAAAAAAACACAGAAATGAGTTTCTGTTCAGAGTCCCACATACCACATCTGCCCATCTCCATCTATCAATAAATATATGACTTTGGTTTGGGGTTTGGTGTAAACAGGACACATCTGTTCTCAGAATGTGTCACTAAAACCTTGATGGAGCTCTTTGGTTCTGCCTCCATTGGCCTTAGCAGACAGTTGTAATGTGTACCCTTGCCTTAAGCTTTATGGTGACTAATTCATTAATTCCTTCTCTAAATGTAAAATAAATTAAAGATGCAGGGACTCATTGCCTACTAGAGAAGTCTTTTCTTTCTTTCTTTCTTTCTTTCTTTCTTTCTTTCTTTCTTTCTTTCTTTCTTTCTTTCTTTCTTTCTTTCTTTCTTTCTTTCCAAACAAGGAAAAGACACTACTCACCATCAAAACATCTACATAGTTAAGAAATCGTTTCCAGACTCAAAACTGTGCTCCTCTCTCCTTATGTCTGTACTTCTCAACCTTGGGTTCCCAGATGTTTGTGGACTACAACTCCCAGAAATCTTGGCCAACACAGCTAGTGGGGAAGGCTTCTGGGAGTTTTAGTCCAAGAACATGTGGGAATGCAAGGTTGGGAACCACTGACATAAAGAGACGGGAGCACCGTTTCAGCTCTGGAGAAACCACCTTACTTTTGTGAATGTTCTGATGAAGAGCAATATATTTTCCTCTCTTGGAGGAAAACAATATAGGAAACTGCCACCTTATGTTGTCCTGTGCTGTGCTCCTTTTGTGTTTAATGGCAGTCTATCTCAAGAAAGCTGAGCAGATGACTCATAACCATTGCTTTCCATGGCCAGGAAAAATCTTTCACAACCTATATTTCTACCTCCCGTGCAAATGTTAAAGGAGCCCCGGTAAACATAGCCCTGTGGGAAGAAACCGCTCATTTCTCCCTTTCTTTGGAACTGATTTTGACCGCAGGGCCAGGGCCAGAATTTGGGGGGCACTGGATCCATCGCATCAAAAGCCACTTGAAATCTTAAAAATCCCATGAGAAAGCCAAAGAGGCAGGGACCCCAAATATCAACGGAGGCATGCTCGTAATCTCCCCATGTTCTGACACCATTGAGGAGAAGACCATACTCTAAGTCTGCAGAAGTTTATCTCTGAAGTCACAAACCTGATGTGAGAGAGTTTGGTGTTCTTATGTGCCCCTGGCTGCTACCGTATTTCTTGTTCATGTTTCTTGTTCATGTACATACTTAAAATTGGAGACCTGGGAGGGGAGAGTTGAACCACTTCCTTACCTAACTCTGTTTTCCCCACATGGCTATATTGAGGACTTTTGTCATACTCTGCCATGGTGAAGCAGTTGTAGAAATCTGCATGTTCCTTTTCAGAAGACATGGACTTCATAACAGTCTGCCCTGGAGCTGAGCCTAATGTATCCTTAAAATGAACAATCCATAAATGTTTGTTTACAGTGGCGGTGTTTACCACTGTAAATGAACATTAGTTCCCTTTCCCACGTAAAACATGGGGAAAAGAAGAAACCGAGCAGTGCTTAGGCAAATTTAGGAATAACATCTCAATCTCTGCATCTGCACCATTAATTTTGAAATTCCCCTTTGTTCAGATCATTTGGCATAGGCAACAATAATACTTGTGAGCTCACTGTAGTACAAAAAATGTAGCACACTATTTTCACAGCAGATCCAAAGACCTTGGCAAACATTTCTGACTTCCAATTGGACTTAACAATAGCAACCATATATATAACTATAACTATAGTTATATAGTTATATAGGTACGGTATAGTTAAAGTTATAGTTGCTATTGTTAAGTCCAATTTTTATATATATCCGTTCCGGATTAACCTTCGCTATGGCGAAACATCGCTGAATGGGACTGGGAAGCCCATTGGAATGCATTAAACATCATTCAATGCTTTCCAAATTGGCCGAAAACTCACCGTTCAGCGATGCTTCCCAGGTCTGGCAGCCATTTTCGCACCCTTGGTAAGCGAGGGCAGGGCGCGAAAACGCTGCACGTGGCCAATTTGGGGCTTCCGACGGCCATTTTGAACCCGCTGAACAGCTGATTGTCGGGCTTCGTTTTGCGAAGATCAGTAAGCGAAACGCTTACCGATCTTCGCAAAGCGATTATTGTCCATAGGGGCCATCGGTATGCGATCGCATTTGCGATCACTAGAACCTCATCGGTATGCGGATTTGTCATTCTACGGTGCGCTCGTTAAGCGAGGCACCACTGTATATATTTATTTATCTATATTTATATATATACACACACACACACACACATATACTGTACATATACATATACATATATATACATACATATATATGTATATGGGTTTATAAACCTAGACAGCATCTTAAAAAACAGAGACATCACCTTGCCAACAAAAGTCCGAATAGTCCAAGCTATGGTTTTTCCTGTAGTGATGTATGGAAGTGAGAGCTGGACCATAAAAAACTTTGACTGCCAAAGAATTGATGCTTTTGTATTGTGGTGCTGGAGGAGACTCTTGAGAGCCCCCTGGACTGCAAGGAGAACAAACCTATCCGTTCTGAAGGAAATCAACCCTGAGTGCTCACTGGAAGGACAGATCCTGAAGCTGAGGCTCCAATCCTTTGGCCATCTCATGAGAAGAGAAGTCTACTTGGAAAAGACCCTGATGTTGGGAAAGTGTGAAGGCAAGAGGAGAAAGGGACGACAGAGGACAAGATGGTTGGACAGTGTCATCAGAGCAACCAACATGAATTTGACTCAACTCCGGGAGGCCGTGGAAGACAGGAGGGCCTGGCGTGCTCTGGTCCATGGGGTCACGAAGAGTCAGACACAACTACATGACTAAACAAGAACAAAGCTATTAAGAGAGGCTAATCTGGCGGCCTCCAAACTTGGATTGAGTTTGTTTGAATGACCTCAGTAGGCCATTTATATCTTACAGATCGCTGTGTGTGCCCTAGGGCAGAAAGGTGTTTTGCCAATTGAATTATTATTGTATTCTCGAAGGCTTTCACAGCCAGGATCTGATGGTTGTTGTACGTTTTTTGGGCTGTTAGGCCATGTTCTAGAGGTTTTTCTTCCTAACATTTCCCCAGACAGAGTTCTAACTCCTGTCCTTTGAAGATGTCGGCCACAGAGACTGGCGACACATTAGGAAGGAAAAAACCCAGAACACGGCCAAATAGCCCGAAGACCTACAACCACCATGAATTATTATTATGATTAAATTCATTCAGATTAGAATAAAATGGATTGAATTGAATTAGGAAGTAAGTGAATAATAAAGCAAATGAGGGAAAACACTTTTTGCTGCCCAGATTAACCGCAACAAACAATGGCGTTTATTTCAGTAACCCATTTTTTGCATATGGGTAAACATGGCCACCTCAACAACAAACAACAGAGGAGAAAAAGCAGAAGCTGTGTGTGGGCAAATGTTTCATATGACCACCTTTAGATCCCAATTATAAAACCCTCCAAAAGTAACTCAACCATGAGAGTCTTTTTTGGGGGGGAGGTAAGTTTTGTTGGGTTTTTTTGTACCAGTCTGTGCCAAGACTGTCTCTTCTTTTTCCTCTCTTGGTCTAGGGTTTGAGTACATCAAGGGACAACTTCTATGAAGCCCCCATGAGAGCAACAAGGTCTTCCAGAGAGAGGTTTTCCGAGGTCGCCTGGTTGTTTCTGTCGACTCCAGCCTTTCGTTTGGTGAGTCAGAAAGGACGAAAGTGAGGGTCACTCTGTGTGTGTCTTTATGTGTGCATTATTTTCTGGATCCTAGGAAAATAGGAGCATAGATAAGATGGAATTGTTCTTTCCTAGGTGAAATGAGTAAAGGGCACTTAGCCTAGAAGTGGGGGGGGCGTGTTTTCCATTAATATTATTATTATTCGCTGTCCTGTGTTGGGTGAAAGGTAAATAACAGAACTATTTGTGTTCAAGTTTTTCCTATTGATAGCCAAGGCTGGTGGTGAGCTACAGGGTTTTCTTGGGCCCATCCCCTAACTTAGCACCTTTGCTTATGAGCAACTAAGTGGAATTCGTCTACAAATCGGACTTTCTTCTTGGCCCTATGGAAGGTCAACCTGGGAACACCGCAAAGTTAGTCTGGATCTATTCCATCCTTTGAAGCACCATACTCTGCTGAATTCATCAAGGAGATTAGAGAGACCACTGTGGCCAGAATCCTACCATCACAATGTACTTCAGCACATTGCAATGCAGTACATTGCATCAGTACATTGTGATGGCTCCAGCAATTTCCAGGTTGCGAGCTGTAGGTTGCCCTGTTGAAACAAGGGAGTTCCCCTATGCACAAGGGGGTAGCAAAATCCTCCTTGCGGCATTAAAAGACATCCATGCACACAATGTGCCGTTGTGTGCAAGGAAAACATTTTGGCCCATAGGCATTCTTTTGATTCTAGCTGTTCTACAAGAATGCTAGTGGAGCTACAGACGTAGAGGCTCCTGTCAGAGCAGAAGTTAACCATCACTTGGGAAGCTTCTTGCAGATGATAAGAAGAATCTCTTGGTTCTAGCAAGCCCAGAGCTTGGAATACAATCTCCAGCCCCCAAATGCCCACACAGCCATGCTACCAGGGAGATTCCACTAGAACGGCTGTGCTAGCATGGTCCAAAAATGAACTTCTAGGGGAGCATCCTCAGTTTCAAGCTTGAGCTAAGATTCTTGGACACCTGGAGTCAGGCTCCAAAGAAGCTGACTCAGGTGGGACTCCAGAAGCTCACCTGGGAAACCCCTGAACAGGTGTGAACAAGATTGAGAGGATTCTCTCCTCCTAGGTGAACTTCCCAGGTGAGTAACAGGTGTGAACAAGATTGAGAGGATCTTCTCCTCCTAGAAAGTATATTAGGCTTGAAGAAGGAAGCTGGAAACAGTGAGAAGGTTATTGCAAAGGCTGACGGTCAGGCAGAGAAGCTCCTCCTGATTGAGTAGACCACCATGCTTCCAGGTAACCAGTGGGGAGCTAGAGGAAGGCTGAAAAAGGCTCATCCGAACCAGATCATGAATCTGGAATGCTATGGATCTGTTGGAGCAGAGGCAGGTTTCAAGAGAGCTAGCCAGGAGGATCAAGCGGGCTGCTTAACTCATCCCTCCAGCCTGGTACTCAGATGGGAAGCTATAGAGCTCCCCTCTAACTCTGTCTAGTGACCATACTTCCAAAGGCATTGGAAGTAGCTCAGGGAAGAGAGGGTTTGGGCCACAGAAGCTGGAAGCACACGTGAGCAATGGGGGTTGGGAAGGGATGGGAGAAGGATGAGAACCTTCTCCAGGGACAGCCATGAAGCAAAGGTTGGAACAAATTCTGTGCTGGAATTCAGGAGCTCTCTGTTTTAACTGATGAGAGCTGTTGTTGAAAACATCTGGACAGCTAAACGTGGCCCACTCCTGTTCTATAGCCCTTAGCTTTGGTCAGGTATAAGTAACAGGACCATCTTTGTAAGCGGGCATATGTAGTCAGGCAGAGGTTCAACAGGTGAGAATGAAGGCAGCTACAGGCAAGTCGGTGAGCAGTCCCAGCTTCTCCAGAACCGCTGGTGAGCTAGGGAGAAGTTGGGAGATGCACAGTTCAGCTGTAGCTTCAGGGACGAGAGGAGAAGCTCCCAGCAACCTGTAGCTTGTCTACAGCTCAAAGCTAGCCATGCTGATCTGTGCTTATTTTAGAGCTCCAAACAAGGGTCATAGCACAGCTGGAGAGTCAGTAAAACCCAGTGTTCAACTAAGGAGAAGCTAGAGAGGGTTTCTTTCCAAGCTGTGGCTCCGGAAACAGCGGGATACGGCCCCGGCAGCCTTCTAGCTGATCAGAAGCCTTCATTTAACCTTCAGAATGAAAGCAGCTATAGGTGAGGTATATGAGGAGTCCTAGCTCCTCCAGAGCTGCTGGTGAGCTAGGGAGAAGCCAGCGGTGAGTGTGGGGCTCACAGCTCAGCTGTAGCTCCAGGGACGAGGGGAGAAGCTCCCGCCAACCTGTAGCTTGTCTACTGCTCAGGGCTAGCCTTGCTGAGCTGTGCTCATTTTAGGTCTCTAGACAAGCTACAGAGCCCAGCCGGGCAGTTTCTAGAACTCAGTGTTTAGCTAGGAAGAAGCTAGGGAGGGTTTCTTTTCTAGCCGCCTAGAGTGGTCGAATCTGACCAGATAGGCAGGATAGAAATGAAATAAATAAATAAATAAATAATAAAGCTGTAGCTCTGGGAACAGCGGGAGAAGCTCCTGGCAGCCTTCTAGCTGATCAGAAGCCCATCGCTTAGCACGGAGACTGAAGGCAGCTATGGCTGAGTTATGTGAACAATCCTAGCTTCTCCAGAGCTGCTGGTCAGCTAGGGAGAAGCTGAGGGCTCACAGCTCAGCTGTAGCTTCAGGAACAAAGGGAGAAGCTCCCGGCAACCTATAGCTTTTCTACTGGTCAGCACTAACCATCCTAAGGTTTGCTCATTTTAGGTCTCTAGACAAGCTATGGAGCCTAGCCAGGGAGTCTCAAAAACCCATTGTTTAGCTAGGGAGAAGCTAGGAAGGGTTTCATTTCAAGCTGTAGTTCTAGGAACGGCAGGAGAAGCTCCTGGCAGCCTTCTAGCTGATCAGAAGCCCATCGCTTAGCACGGAGACTGAAGGCAGCTATGGCTGAGTTATGTGAACAATCCTAGCTTCTCCAGAGCTGCTGGTCAGCTAGGGAGAAGCTGAGGGCTCACAGCTCAGCTGTAGCTTCAGGAACAAAGGGAGAAGCTCCCGGCAACCTATAGCTTTTCTACTGGTCAGCACTAACCATCCTAAGGTTTGCTCATTTTAGGTCTCTAGACAAGCTACAGAGCCTAGCCAGGGAGTCTCTAAAACCCATTTTTTAGCTAGGGAGAAGCTTAGGGAGGGTTTCATTTCAAGCTGTAGTTCTGGGAATGGCAGGAGAAGCTCCTGGTAGCCTTCTAGCTGGTCACCAGCCCATCGCTAAGCTTTCAGAATGAAGGCAGCTACAGGCGAGGTATGTGAGCAGTCCTAGCTTCGCCAGAGCTTCTGGTGAGCTAGCGAGAAGCCGGGGGGGTGGGGGCTCACAGCTCAGCTATAGCTCCAGGGATGAGGGGAGAAGCTCCCGGCAACCTGTAGCTTGTCTACACCTCAGCACTAGCCTTGCTGAGCTGAGCTCATATTAGATCTCTAGACGAGCTACAGAGCCTAGCTGGGGAGTCTCTAAAATCCAGTGTTTAACTAGGGAGAAGCTAGGGAGGGTTTCTTTCCAAGCTGTGGCTCCGGTCCAGCAGGAGAAGGATAGGGAAAGTAACCAGAGCAATAGCATTCGGCTGGGGCAAAGCTGGAGAGGTCATCATTGCTAATCCATGCCGTTGGGAAGAGTAGCAGGATGTCCCAGTGTCTATCTAATGGCTCAGAAGCTGTAAGATCTGAAAACCATTCATCTCTAAGGCAGCTTTTGCTCAGGTGGGTAAGCAGTCTCTCCCTTTCGCTGGGTAGCTTGAGGGCTCCCTGTGAGGTTGTAGCTTCAAGAACAAGAGGAGAAGCTCATGGCCTCTCCTTGGCTTAAGCACAGCCCAGCTCCAGAAAGGGTCCCTTTCAGGAAGGGTGGAATAAGGTCACGGCTCAATGGTGGGAGCTGCAAACCCATTCAGATCTATGGGAACTTTGGTGGAGGGCAGTAAGGAACCTGAGCTTCCACTACTCAGCTAGGGAGAGGCTGGAGGGCTTCCTACCCAAGCTGTTGTCTGGGGAACAGAGGAGTGGGGGAAGCTCCTGCTATCGCCCAAGTTTGTCATTTAGATGTAGGATTGGCAAACTATTCAGATCAGTAGCAGCTAAACCTGATGTTGCTGTGCGACCCAAACTCCTTGATAGCCGGTGCTTAGCTAGAGGCATGGCAGAAGATTCCCTGATGAACCATAGCTTCTGTAAAAACAGAATAAACCTGCCAGAGTCCCCCTAGCTTATCCAAAATATAACACTAAGCATGGAGCCACCATTTTCATTTCTTAGCAGCTTTCACTAGGGTTGGGAGAGCAATAGGAGTCTCTTTAAATGCAGTGCTCATCAGGGAAGACCTGGGAAGCTCCTTATGAAGCTATTAGTTCTGAAAATGATGGGGAAAGTTGCAGTAGCTCTCCTAGCTTGTACAAAACAAAGAAATAGAAATAATGTAGTCTTTGTAGAGCCACTGGAGATGGGACGAAAATGCTTCTGAAATCTCTGAGTGCATTGCTTAGCTGGGAAAGCATTTTCCTCCCCATGGCTTCTGGAATCTTGAGGGATTCCAGCATGCCCTCATATTTTTCAGAAACCCAGCACTTTGCTGGGACTTGAGTTTCTCTAGTCAATAGCTGTTGTGGCTCATAGAAGAGCCTCCAGGATCTTGCTAAATCCTAATGCTCTTTTCAGGAAAAGCTTTGTGTGGATCCAACTGAGCTGTGGCTTTGTGGAGTACGGGAGGTGCTCCTCAGTTGTCCAGAATTCATCTTGGACTGTTCTGTTATGCAGGCAAGGCTCTCAAATCAGCCTGAGACATACCATAACCCTAATAGGTGCAGAGAGAAGAGCCAGAAAAACCTACCTCTGGCTCATTCCGTCTTCTGCTGTGGCTCTGAGAATTGTGGAGAAAACATCTGGCAACTCCTAGCTTCTCTGAAGCTCATGGCTGTGCTTGGGGGGGAGGTGTCCTTGAGTCCTTTTCCATTGCATCTGGGGTGCAGAAACAAAGGAGCTTCTCTTGACTCCAGCATCTAGCTGAAGAAAAGCTGGAAAAGATGGAGGAGGCTTAGAAATAACAGAGAGATCTTTGAGCAAACTGATGACCCAAAAGACTATATAAACCTTTCTAGGGCAGCAGAAGGGTGGGCAGAGGAACAATAGGGACGTTTAATGCTCAGCTAGGAAACAGCCTGGAGGATCCCTGCTTGGTGTGGTCTATGAGAATGAAAAGTGAGAAGCCAACAGTGAGCTGAGATAAACCCAGGCCATTTAGATCTCTAGTAGCTAGAGCTGGGATGTTGTGGCTTCTGGAGTCCTGTTGAAAGCTTATATTCAGCCAGGTAAAAGATGGAGGGCTTCTTGTTCATCAAAACCTAACTGATTCAATGAGCCTACTCTAGTGTGATTTACTATGCTAAACCACAGGATGTTGGCCATTGAACGGTGAGATGCTCAGTTTTGCCACAAACATAGTTTTGTTGCAGTCTGTTCCACATTGCTGCTATGGATTAGATTTCCTTCTCATCTTAGAGTCTCCTCATGTTTAGTGCCAGTTTTGGATAAGCATATTTGAAACAGTACCAGTGTTTGAGTAAGGTGACCAACATGGCAGCATTTAATTACAAACAAGTTCCGTTAGATGATTGATCCATTGTGTCAGGCTTTGAGGCCTTTACAGCCTTTTTGTTACCCATATCCTCAAGTAGTGTTTCTCAACCAGCTGCTGGTTGATTAGTTTTCCTGTAAGTATCAGACTAGTTAATTGGCAACAAAGACCAGGCAACTTATGGTTATTTTAAAGATTTCAGAGGGTTTTCCATCGTTCGCTCAACTGTAGCAAAATAATAGCTATGGGGTTTCTGTGCCAAGAGTAACTTGATAAAAAGTAATAAAATTCCCTTTTGTGTGTTTGTTTTTTCCTTCATGGCTTTTTCCAACGTGGTTTCTGTTTGTTCAAGAATTTGGGTTCTTTCACAGACTTTGTCAATTCTGCCGTATAATATAGAGGTGCTTCATGGGAACAAAAGGAAAATTAAGTTTTTGAGACAGTCTAACTGTGTATATGTACTTACAGCATGCTTATATAGCGTCGTCAGTGTATCATGAACATCTTTGTTTCATATTAAAAATGTCACCCATTGAGACAAACTACCGGCTTTCTAAAAGCATGATAATAGAGCAAATGCAACAGAACACATTGCTTGTAGAAGGTGCAGAAGTCACAAACCTCCACTTTGTGTCTGTTTTTCAGACTACTCTCTCCACAGCCAACCGATTTTCTTTCCATCAAGATGCATCAAAATTTGTTTCCTTTAACAGACGGTATAAAAATCACTCCCAGCCTCCATATTAATTCTGGCTCAACTGACCAAATGATGTCTTTTGCTTCTTCCTTCGTGAAAGACATGACACATGAGGGGGGGTTACCCCTGGAAATTTTGGGGTGAAGCCTCACACTCCAAGAGTCACCCATGACTGAGGGTAAATTGCCTTTACAGTACATATCCTATGCAAATTTGATGAACACTTTTTTAGGTCTTTGACAGATCACTCGTCAGTACCGAAAAGAGGAGGATGTTAAGCGCTGAGTCAGACCGATTTCTTCTAGCTGGTATTTTCAGGAATAATAATGGAATCATTGGCACCACGTTTTCTGTTTTGGACTATAATTCCCAAAACCTGACAGCCAGCATGGCCACCAAGAGAAAACAATGTCCATTTTTCCACATAAATGAGAAGTAGAAGAGAAGGTTTTGGGGGCACTCCAATATGTAAGACCTTGGGGCAGTACCATGCTGATCAATACACATGGACACCAGGGGAATTTACTTTAAATGGGGATGAAAATCAAGTCCAGAATTAAAATGTCAGAGACATTTCCACACCACACTTAACAAACAACATTCAGCCAACTGGTTGCAGAAAAAAAAAGGCCTATTTATATTTCGATAATCATATCTTTCTTTTCAGCAAAGCATTTGTTTACTTCCTCTTGGTCACAAAGATCCAGACGAATATTTCACTCTTTCCGAAAAGAACGTATTTCCAAAACCCTCCCTCCTTTTCTATTGTTTCTCCCTCAGCTTCCCCAAGCGCTCCTTCTCTTTTCCCCCTCATTCCATCTGGGAGCTTCCCAGAGAGCGGGGATATCACCATTGGGTGCCTGGCCAAGGATTTCCTGCCCGACTCCGTCACTTTCTCCTGGAATAATAAGAACAACGCCAGCCTTAACACCAGCAAGTTCAAGAGGTTCCCTTCCCTTTTGTCCGACGGCACCTACACTGCAAGCTCCCAAGCAAAAGTTTCCGTAGACGACTGGAAAGCCTACTCTCCCTTCTTCTGCCAAGCAAGGCAATCGGACGTCAACAAAGTGGTTCGCGTTGTTCGCAGAGCTTGTCCTCGTAAGTGAACAGATTTCTCTTGGTCAACTAGAAACTCTCCCAACAGCCCATGACAAAACCCAACAGATTAAGAACTTCCATAGCCAGAATTGCAGATCCCTGCAGCATGAAAACAATCCTTATCTAAATACACTATTTGCTGAAATCTTGTTGCTTGGTTTTGTAAGTCACAACTAGAGTAGGCCCACCGAATCAATGGAACTTACAGAGGAGTTAACTCCCTATTCTTACCTGGCAGGGGAGATACCATGATCATGACTAGTATGGGGCTTATAAGGCCATTGCGTCCAATCATAGTTGCAGGTGGCTTTTATATGCTTTGCCCATGGCATGGGAAAAGTGGTATTCATTTTGTTTTTAGGGATGTTACCCTCCTTAGCCTTATATTAAATAATGACCCAAATGAATCCACACAAATTAAAGCCACCCTTGCGTTCTGTTCTCAGTGTAGTCAGACACGCAGCCTGCTAGAAGACACCTGAATATTATGAATTAGGATTCTAAGAGATATTTCATTCTTTAGAGTTCTCCACCTAAAAATATATGTTCAATCCCCATATTTACATTTTGCCTTTAAGGTGTCATTTCCGTTTGCCTTAATTCTTCCCTATTTCCAATTTTCTTTAGGATGCCCTGATCCTGAAATGAACATCCAAGCTCCCCCACGTAAAGCATTTCAGGCCCCCTACTTCAACTCCACCATCACCTGTACTGCTACTAACCTTTGCACGGAGAAAACCACCATCCAGTGGTCCAAGGACGGACAGCTGCTGGACTCTGGCTTCACCACCACCAAGCTATCCTTAAACAACGGCAATGGCTACGGCATCAGAAGTGAACTCATCGTCACTCTCAGGGACTGGAATGCCAACAAGAAATACTCCTGCACGGTGCAAAATGACAAGTTCAACAATACCCTGGAGATCCACAAGACTGCCTTTTGTGAAGGTAAGCTGAAATTCTGCTTCAGGTGTTAAGAGAACTTGGACAACTAATGAATGAATGGTTGGTTGGTTGGTTGGTTGGTTGGATGGTTGGTTGGTTGGTTGGTTGGTTGATTTGGCTTTTATACCGCCCATCTAAACAAATCTACTCTGGGCGGGTTATTTCCACCTGTACAACCAAGCAAAGCATTTCTTGCATTCTGTCAGGATAACCATGTGCTTCCATTCCTGTTCAACTTAATAACATGAATTTGTTCCCAGGTCAGTTTTGCTCCTGAAAGCAAATTTGACATTTCACAAGCAGCACTGTGTGAAAACATAAAATTCATCACACGGCTGCTTTAAACAGGTTCTTTAAAATCCATCAGTGAACGTATTTTGTAAAAAAAACACGTTCCCTCAAAACTAAAATATAACAGTTCAAGATCGCACTTATCCTAATTCCGTGCCCCTAAACATGTTTCCATTAAACACAGAGAAATATCACGCCCCATTCTGAAAACTGTACCTTTAAAGCTAGCCAAGACTGCCAAAGGAAGAAAAGTGTACACTGTTTTTCTCAAAGAGTCACAGAACTGAGCCCTTTTGACTCTCCATAACGGTGGCGAAACACCCCAAAGCACCTCTCCTTCCAAGCTCATCCTTCCTAAATATAGGACATAGCTGTGAAAGGAGATTCTTAGTAGATGTTTAGGGGAAAACACATTACACTGAGTCCCTGGCAACCACTAAGAAAAAAAGATTCTTAAGTAGGAACGAAGAACAAAAAAGTTTCAACACTCTCTGTTTTCTGATTTATTGTGGAACTAAACATTGTCTTCTATTCTCTTTTGAGAATGCTGTGGAGGACACCTAGAAGTCCAAGTGGAAACCATCCCACCATCCTATGCTGATATTTATGTGAACCAGGAAGTTAAGTTGACCTGCAGAATCTCCGACATACCATATGACCAGGATCTTGGACAACTGGCTGTGACTTGGACACGGAGGTCCAACGGCATCAACCGGGAACAATTTGAAACAGAACTTGGAACACCTCAAGATCAGGGAAATGGCAGGCAATCCATAGATGCTTCCACCACCGTGTGCATAGCTGACTGGAACAGTGGTGACACGTTCAGCTGTAAAGTTGAGTTTCCAGATGTACTTCCCGAGCCTGTAGAAAAGTCACTGAAAAAGCCTCTTGGTAAGTGCTGTTTTCTATAAGCCCTAAAAAGGAGGGATTCTGTATGCCTTTGTTTCATCAGATGTCCTCAATGTGCCAGGCCTCAAAGGGTTCAGAATAATTCCAGTCTCCCCTCAGAATAAGGAGCGCCACCTGAATGAAAAGTAACAGAGAGCGCCTGGAAAAACTAGTTCATCCTCAAGATGCCCTTTCATCCAATGGCCGCTAAAATAAAGGTTTTCCCATTATGATTTCCCAGTTGCCATCATCTTCATGGGCCATCAAGTCAATTCTAACTCTTCTCCTTATGGCCCTTTCTGGGCTTCTGAGGAACTGTTCAAGACCAAATGCCAAGAGTTAGATCACAAGTTTCCACAAGAAGCCCTAAAAAGGAGGGATTCTGTATGCATGTTATTATTTGTTCTCTCTCCAGTCAGTACTTATCCAATTTATCTCCTAAAAGGCTTCAATTCAGTTTTGTGATTGGCCTTTTCTTTCTCCAGATATGTCCACCTACACAATCCAAATTTAACTGAGCTGTCGTGAACTGAAGAAATTATGTATTCAATGGATAAAGAAGGCACATTTGATTTTTTTTTCCTTCCACGTATTTTTTTTCACCCTCCAGGTATTCCCGTTCACGCCCCGGCAGTCTATGTCCTTCCTCCTCCATCCGAACAACTAGCACTGAGGGAAATGGCCACCGTCACCTGCCTGATGAAAAGTTTCTCTCCCAGTGGCATCTTTGTGCAATGGCTGCATAACAATAAGCCGGTGAGCCCTGGAACCTACTTCACCAGCACCCCTACACTAGAATCCAGGAAGATTGGCCTTTTCTTTCTCCAGATATGTCCACCTACACAATCCAAATTTAAGTGAGCTGTCGTGAATTGAAAAAATTATGTATTCATTGGATTCAAAGGCACATTTGATTTTTTTCCTCTCCACTTTTCTTTGGCATCCTCCAGATATTCCCATTCATGCCCCGGCAGTCTATGTCCTTCCTCCTCCATCCGAACAACTGACATTGAGGGAAACAGCCACCGTCACCTGCCTGATTAAAAATTTCTCTCCCAGTGGCATCTTTGTGCAATGGCTGCATAACAATAAGCCGGTGAGCCCTGGAACCTACTTCACCAGCACCCCTACACTAGAATCCAGGAACCAGGACAAGTATTTTGCCTACAGTATGCTGAACATCGATGAACAGCAATGGAGCGCTGGAGATACTTATACTTGCCTGGTGGGACATGAGGGCTTGCCATTCAACGCAACGCAGAAGACCATAGACAAGAACATGGGTAAACCAACCATTGTCAATGTCTCCCTAGTGCTTTCCGACACCGCCAACACGTGTTAATAACCATCTCTCTCAAGTGCCTTCTCCAGCTCTTCTTTCCACTGGCCTCTGTTCCCCGTGTTTGTCGTCTTGTGCTTTACTGTTGATTCCTCTGCGGCAAGTTGGCAGATGATGGCGACGATCTAAGAAAGTTGTGTCTGAACTGTGAAAGCCACATCTTCCTGGAAAAGAGCACATTGTTTGCAATAAAACTTGTTTTCCTCAAAACAAAAACCGAAATCCTGGTTTGCTGTAGACAAACGTTGATATCCGAATTCATTAATTTTCAATTGCACCAGCATGGGTTAAAATACCCAATTCCCTTCTGAATTCATGGAGAAATTAAATTTCCTTGAAAATGCCCATCTGGTTAACTATAACCTGGGGTTTTCAAAGGACGCTAAAATCATGAGATGCCCAAAGTTGAAGAGTGAGAACTTGTAATTCAAGTATGGGCTTCTTTTACCGCATCCACACTTTTTCCTCCTCCTTCCCCTACCTTGGCCTTTTCTTTCATTTCTCTTCTTCCAGATCTTCTTTCTCCACTTCAAATCTTTCCACACAAACATGTAACACTACAAGTTTTAGACAGATCATAAAAGTTTTAGACAGATTATTGACAATCTTTTCTTATGTACATTTTCATCT